ACTCAAAGGAACAAAACGAGGTGTCTCCAGTTTTGGAAAAGAGAAGGGGAATATCATCTACATAGTTAACACTACAGAAAGTTCTTCATTATCAAAATGGGTTGATATTACTCCACTTCATGTAACTTACAGAGAACTTCAAGAACTTACAGTTTGTAGTCAGCCTCAGTTTTACAATAAAATTCACAATGAGTCATAAATCTATATAATCACTTGCTCTATTTTAGTGCACTTGCAGAACACCATAAATATGCTTTTCTTGGAAGTGCATTTAGGGGCTTGGCTGTTTCCCAAAATGCATCAGTGCAACTCCAGTTACTGTAGTAATAAACCAAGTCAAACAGATTGCAGCGGGATGAGGACGTCTGTTATGGATGTTGACATCATCTGACATTGTTTTCGCAGACAGACTGTACCCTTTCAAGGTAATGTCACTCTTCCCTGGGGGGACGTTTGACAAGGACTATAACAGCAGATACCAAGAGATCAAGTTCAGTCTTCCAGCTTCAACAAAGAAGGTGATAAATCCAAACCTGTTATTATTGGTCAAATAGTAATAATAATAATAATAATAATAGCATTTAAATAATCTAAAAGTCAGACATATTTTACATATGTGCTGGAATAGAACTATAAATAATACTATTAATAACAATAGTAATGCAAAAATTATAATAAAATATTTTTTTTATATTTTATTTTAATACAATGTGTTTATTTTGTAATTGATTAATCTATTTATTTAATTGCATATAACATTTCCGGATATGTAAAAACTTTCCTTGGATTGAATGTGTTTTTTAAAATCTTTTAAAATCTTATTAATATGAATTTTATAATAAAACAATCAATCGATTTATTTATTTTAATTTTTTCATTTATTTATTTTGCATATAACATTTATGCATAAGTAAAAACTTTCCATAAATCGAATGTGTGTTTTTACATGTGTGCTGGAATAGTGCTAGTAATAATACTGATCATACCAATAATAATACCAAAATTATAATAATATATTTTTAATATTATTTTAGTATAATGCTTCATTCATTCATTCTTATTATTTTATTTATTTATTTTTGCATGTCATATTTCTGGAGAATTAAAACCTTCCATGAATTGAATATGTATTTTTGTGTGGCAGGTGGAGTTATATGCTGTTATCACGGCTCACGGGTCTGACGAGAACTTCTGCGGTGAATTTTGTGTGACATCACATCATTTCCTGATCAACAGATCCGTCAATAACACGCTCGTGTTTGAGTCAGCTGGTTAGTAGCACCAGGGTGGCAGAATTAGTGGACTTAATACCATTTTATGACATTAACTAACACCCTCATATTTGTGTCAGCTGGTTAGTAGCACCAGGGTGACAGGATGGGTGAACTAGATAACATCTTATGACATCAAAGAAATGTGCTCACACTGTGCCAGTGAGTAAAACAGATGTGCATGTCCATGCAGGATCACCTCTGGGCTGTGCCATGCGGGTATCTGAAGGAGCAGTGCCCAATGAACATGGGACCTGGTTGTACGGCCGCGGAGGCTGGTGCGACGGGCTCCAGGTGGATCCATGGAGGACCGACATCACTTCCCAGGTACAGCAAAACAGAACGATAAGGTCGTGGGACAACAATGTTGCATACTATTAGAATGTCATGGAAAAGTTCATTT